TGCAGTTGCTCATTTTCCTGAGAATGAGTCTGTATCCACAACTCCTTTAGTTCTGTACACTCTACAGACCCTCATTCCATACCTATTTTAACCGTTTACTGTTGCCACCATTTCTATTCATCAATTCACCACCCCCAGTCCCATGCATTTATGCACCGCGAATTATTCACTGCCCCACTCGCTTTATGCCTGACACTACTTCATGAGAGTTCAAGAATGCCCACAGGCTACTATTAACAGCCTTTCTTGTGGGGGGGAGGGGAGGGGAAATGCTGGCGCTGGGCCTCCGAATTTGAGAAATATGGAGACAGAACAATTAGAAATTGATGTGAGGGATTGGCTGGGGATTGTGTTCAGGTGAATATTCACAGAGACAAAGACGGCCATCAGGTTTTTCATTATGCGCAAGGGAATACCAGTACGTATTTGGTTCCCGGTACACATAGTGCATTCGACTTTGTAGAGACACCATAGAACGATTTCCATCTGCACTATCCAGTACTCTGATGTGTAAATTGTAAAGCAACAAGTCATGTTTCATGTGACTATCAGACTTTGAGGGACATTATATAAATTTTTTTCTTTCTTTTTTTTTTTATATGAAATCACTTTGGGTTTATACCGTGAAACTGCTAAATTAGAATGACTTTCTCCTGATTTTCAAACAGTAATGAACTCTTACATTGTATATATTGAGAAGTCTTACACATTTTTTTATGAACTTGTATGATCCACAATGTATTGGCACACCTTTGTAAACCATATTGGTATGGTTAATTGTGGTGCCAAAATATTGTGCAAAATACCGGAAAAATCATCTGTTAATGCCTTCACTGCACTGAAGTTTCATTTTGTGGTGCCAACGCCCAGTTCGGTGATTGTCTTGTCTCTGTCAGGGGTTCTGTATCCAGGTCTGAAGTAGACAGCTCAGGAATGGGGCTTTAACTTGCCACTGGTTCCACTCAGTTGGAGTGGTTTACCTGCCGAGGAGAGCAAGTCAAACTGAAGCCAAGAAGACCCAATTTCTGACGAGAGACCCCCGGGAAATGCCTTGGTAACAATAGAGGTGGAGCAGACAAGGCTCTTGACTACTGCCCGAAACTTGTAACAAACAAGACAGGGGGATATCATTGCTGAGAAAGATCCCCGGGCCTTGCATATGACTCACACATTTACAGCCACTAAGGTATTCACTGCAAAAACTGCCCGCAGCATCGACGGCTACATTCATATAAAATTTGGATGAACCAGAGCAATTGGAGAAGCAAATATTGCATGAATGTAAGCCTTATCTAAACACAGTGGATCTCATGCGGAGAAACGTTGATACTAGGCTACCCCCTTTTTTTCCCTCTCTCTCTAGAGTCGTCATGAGACAACCCAAACATTTATTCATCTGGATAATGTTTCAGACGTTTTAATCTAAGTTTCTATGCTGCTGGCCGTATATTTTCTCTGCCTCGTATTGTTGGGTGCACGGTAATCATCAGGGAAAGAATTTTGAAGAGACTTTGTTGCAAAATGACTCAGGGCTCAGTTCTCCCAAATAAACACAGCCTGCACCGTTGGGGTAATAGATGACTGACAAAGACTGACGAATCCCGTACTGCCGGTGAACCACCATATCCGTTATAAACAAACGTAAATCCCAAACCCGAAAAAAGGCAGTTGGGGAGACCCTCTGACTTGATCAGATCTTGAGTTAAACAAAAAGACATTTATAAACATGTTGCAAAATAAACATGACCAAACACATGTAAAAGACTCACTTAAAAACCTATCTGTCAATGAAATGGGGGCTCTGATATTTTCTGGTTTTTTGGTTCACATATACGGAATGCTCATCTTGGTGGCTTTCTTAATTTCTTGCCCATTTCTGTGTGTGCCGTTTTTCTTTACCAAATGCTCTTTTGCTTGAATTCTGTATGCATCCCCCTTGGCTTCAGACCAGATGCATTCTCTACCACAGATGTGCACACATTCGCTGGGCATAAAGTTTTGCTGCTAAGCAAGTGGGCGTTACTACATGTAGTCGAAGTGTCATAGGATGGGCATTGCTTTCAAGTGGTGCCCTGCCAGTTTTCTTGCTCAGCATTTGAATGACATGAGGGGTGTTCTAGCAAGTCCAAAAATGGTGGTTATAAAGTCGGTAATGACTTTCAGGCTGCCACTTAGTCTTCATCTGAAGCCCCACCCCCCAAAATACACATCTGTTGGTTTTGGCAAAGACACCTTCATGTAGACGGGAGATACCAGCACCCCCCCCCCTCTTGTAGACGGGAGATGCCAGCTTCACCCTATCTCCATACACTCATGAGCTAATTACTGGCACACGAGCTGCCTCTTCTACAACCACACAAATAAGATGGTTGGGATGAGATAAGAAAGATTGATCATTGTTGGCACTGACATCAGGGATGCACTTGTTACTGTTTCAGCCCCAGACATACTGACTCGTCAGGGAGTGACTCACTCATAAGAGTGTACATTAAGACTAATTGTTTGATGGGCGTCTTATAGCCGTAGACTAATGCATGTACATTGTATGTGTGGAGGCCACTGCTGGATATATACATGTATATATGATATATATATAACAATTTATAGTTCACACTGCCATCATGGCAATTTACGTAGGATTCTCCAGAAATATTTACAGCTATTGTGCCAAGTAAAAAAACGTGCTGATGTAGGAAAAAGTTACTAAAAAGAACCTTCGTGAGACTCTGCTGCATTGTAAGTTGGACTTCAAGCTTGGTACAGACAGAACACTTGTTGAGGATGCTACATGCAAACCAACCATACTGGTGAAGTGTGCTGTCAAAATAATGTTTCACTTGGTGGGTTTTTCCTGTCCACGGTCCCCTTTCAAGAATTGAGGACAATGCTTCCCAGAGAACAGACTGTAAATGCACTTTGATATTGCGCGGTGATTTTTCAGTCGTCCCCGTTTAACATTGGAGCACTGCACCGTGCAAAGTTATCCTGTACAAAGAACATCCCCTCAGGCTACTATTGAAACAGACTGGACTGTACATGTATGTGAACTTTGCTCCCTCTAACAATTCCAGGTCAATCGCAGAAAGAGAGACCTGTAAAGATGGACAACCCTGCCTCTGTTTTCTCTATCCCTTCCCCCTGCATCTGACCCTTAGTCTTAGAACCATCCGTAACGGTTGTCTTGCACATCAATCTCGCTGCCATGTCAGGCAAGAGTTTTTCTTGTGGCTTGATTGACTAAGCGTGAGCGGCTCCAGCAAATGATGCATGGAGCCAATTTGTTGCTTGAAGTCTCTGCCTGTGCTGGGCTCTTTGAGGAGAGCCGCTGTGGTGAGCAGGAGGAGAACAAATCAGTTCATTAGTTTATTAAGAGTGGAGGTGTCAAATATTTATTTGGTACGCTGAGAGGTCGTAGATAGCCCGATGAATGGCTACAATTTGAATGTGGATCATGTCCCTGCAGTAAGCTACGCATTCTGCTAAGCTCTGAAGTCTCCTCATTTAAAATGTCATTTTTGAAGTAAGTGTCAGGGATGAATATTTACTCTGGTTGGAATAAAATTCTGGAAGTATTTACTTTCTATATTTACTTCCTTTGTGTAGAAATCCAGTACAACTGTAACTGGTTTTACCAGGTTTAATGCAGATCTGAATACCTTGGAATATTCTGCAAATTTATGCAGACTTCTCATTTTTGTTTGACAGGAAAAAATGATAACAGCTTGATGTATGGTGACCTATTTCCCCTTCTCCCCGGTGGTTTGTCCAATAAGATGCCCCAGTTCTTCCCCTCCTTTTAACCAAGCAAACCTGATGCTCAATAACATGGAGTAAGGTCAGCAGATCACGGCAAAGAATTGGCAACTAGAGATGACAGTTTACACCAAACACTTGTAATGCGCGTGATCGTACGTCCCATCCAGCACCTATCCCCCCAACGATATTTCCTGCAGATAAGAACAGCCCACCTGCAGCCTGGCAGCATCTTGGACACGCGCAGGCGAAATGCGAAACCACCGGCATAAAAAATCCCTTTGTTCCTGGACCATTTATTGAATACATGAAGTGTGTGAGTCACATGGTACTGGCAGAGGCGAACTGCGTGCCTGTGTGACACCGATATTTTAAACTGCATTGCAAAGAACGAAGTGTGGAATTTTATATGGTTCTGCATGGCCGGTGATGATATCAAGATGGTTTGCTGGTTTTGCCTGGAAACGATACGCACCTGTCATTAATGTAGAGTGGTAAAGGAGTCAGATTTCACAAGAGCAAGGATGTGCATACAGAATTAGCCATTTTTAATATCAGTTTAAAAATTATCAGTAATGCTACAAATTATGTACTAATAGCTTGTGAATGGGCTTTAAAAAAAAAATCCATTCCCAACCTCAAGCAATATACAGGCACATCACTGATTGGGGACATCATATGAAACATTATGTCACACGCTTGCATTTGAGTGAGACATGTAGAAACTTTTTATTTCTAAACATGGTTCCTCTGGAGTTTAATTCTTCCAAGTTTTGTACATTCACAACACGGGAAAAAGCTCTTGGTCTTGGCACGCTTGTATAGTTTCAGTTATTTATACATTTGTCCATTTTATTTTCAAAGTTATCTTTGGCACAGAACATGCCATACACAAATAGTGAACATTTTTCTTTCAACAAGCAGGTAAATATGATGCAGCTGATGTGAGTGTGAAATATACCATGTGCAGATTTCATGAAACATAAATGGGATTAGACGCCATACTTATCCTGACATATGGAAACCATAGAAAGACGTGAAACAGCTTTGAACACATTTCTACATCTCTCATGTGGAATTTGATAGTGCAGTTTCTAACAAAACGTAGCAAAGGGAAGAGTTCTTGTCATTGTTGATATATGTGGAATATACTTTATGCCAGAGACTGTAAAGATTCATAGTGGTCAGATTCATTTTACTTGAGGAATGCACTAATTCCAGCTCTTGTATGTTCTGTTTCTCTTCAGATGGCAACATTAATTTTGGATGACTGCAATGCGGCTGTGGCTTTGCATCATGGTGAACAGTTGGGCAATTATTCCTGTGCAGCCTCAGTCTTGCAAGGCGGCCAGCTGAAGTAAGTTTTGGATTTCTTTTCACACCCCATTCCTGTGCAAATGGTTGAAACAGCTTGTTTCCAGAAAACAGAGTGTCGCCTTCATCATTGTGCACTTTAAACTTCAGTGTATTTTAATGAACTTCACTTGGGACTGCAACTGTTCTAGTGACTGAAAGCCAGCATTAACCCTCATCCACAGCATTGCAACAGAATGCTTGTTTCTTTTGGGACGGAGTAGTTGTGTGTCTCTAAATTAGAAATGCATATAGGCAAACCTTTTCAGGTTTTAATTTTCCAATTTTAGTGACAAATAATCTGTAATTTCACAGTTGTTTTTTAGATGAATGCAAATAATCAGGCCCGCTATTTCCAAATGAGGTTCACACAACCTGTATATTTTGTTTTCAGATCTACACAAAGATAGCAAAGTTAGCAGCAATGGCATTATAATTTGTGCGTATTCCATTGAAAAGTTATGCCAGTAGGTACATTGCAGTGCATGATGATGCCTGCTTGTG